ATTAATTTTCCTTCGGTTTTCTCCCATTCGCAAACACCTTCATATTTTCCCATTCCTGTTACAGCGGAATGAGTCGTCGAGCTTTGTTCTTGTCCAACAGTTCGGCTATGCTTATGGCCCAAATTAAGGCTACTCGTTTCAGTGGAGATGGTAGCTATTGGTTGCGATGACTCGTCATTCTGCTGGCCATCAAGGGTGGAAGTTATTGGCTGTATAGCTGAGGGCCCAAGGACACGGCCAACAAAGAAGGCGAGTTGCCGTTGCAGCATCAAACACTCAGATAGGTCACGGCCTGTGTCCATTCTGGCAGCCACTTGAGTCTGTTCGTTGATCCAAGTCTGACCAAATAAAACAAGATCGAGCGGGAAAATGTTAAAGTCGATGCATGAGATAAAATTGACTCATTTTCTGGTGCCTGCTTATGCCAGGCTTGTAAAATAAAATAATAAGTTGGAAAACTAAATATTTACTTATCTAATCATTGCAACCTTATTTCTAGGCTCCTTAATTCTAGTAGCCATTGAGCTAATTGCGCTTGCTTCTAAATTCCATTGCAGGCATGACTATCCAGTTCATGACATTAGCAAAGCATGAGAAAATTATAGGTTCGGATACATAAGTTTGATTCAACGGCTTCCGCTGACAGTTTAAGAGAGAAGTGCCACCAATTATAAAGAGATCGGAAGCAGGTATACATGAGAAATAGAGATTGACATTGAATAATTGAGTATATGTCAAAGGCTAGGCAAATACGATAAACTGCCATGCATTTGAGGAATCTGGCTTTCATAAAAATTGTGCTGCGAAGATAACATTTATTAGCTGCCTCACTAGCGTTGTTTTTAGTTAAACTCTAATATTAGGCGTTCTATTTCCATTCCTTGACCAACGATGACGATAAACTGCCAGCTATTTAAACCGTTTTGGAGCCTCCAGAACAATAAAGTACCATTAAAAATGAATACTGGTACAGCTCTCTATATTTATAGCGTACATCTTAATAAAAATAAATTACGGCAGAGGCACAGGGTCTTATTTTCAATAAATGGGTGCAGTAAGCTTGATTCAGAGAGCTTCAAAATCGAAAGTAATGGACTAAAGACGAATTGAAGCATACAAATTAGCAATTCTCCATTGTTTTTTTTGTCAAATCCTTAGTCCAGCGAGTCACCAATTTGGGATCTCTAGGATAATTCACAACCTAATTGCAAAGGAAAGGGCATCGGACTTAATTACAGGTAAGATTATTGTCAGATGAGAGCAGAAAAATGAGACTAGCATTAATTGTGCCGATCTAATATGGTATGTAGATACGAAGAGAAACTTGGTTTCGAGGAATCTCCTGAGGTAACATTGTTAGGGGGACCTTCATTTCGTATGAAAGTGCATAAAGAAGAGATTCGTTGGTCGGATGAAACTCGTTGTACTGTAGCCGGTTAGATTTAATACGACATTCATGTTGACGCATTCGACGGAACTTCCTCCCTCGTTTAGGGTGAAAACGTGCTGAGCTTTTGTCCATCATTCGATGGACATCATCAGAGCTGGGTGCCATTCTTGTAGAAGGCTTTCATTAACACTAGGCCAAGAAGGCTATGAATATTTAAGAATAAAAATTTAGCCCAGAAAATTAATATTGTTGGGAGGACTTTCATTTCGTATGAAAGTGCATGAGAAGAGATTGGTCGGTCGATCTCACCAGAAGAGGATGGAATGATTGCGTTGTACTGCAGCCGTTCGGCTTTTATGCCACGTTCAGGTTGGCGCAGTCCACGAGACCTCGTCCCTCGTACGAAATGAAAGTCCTCCTAACAATGTTATCTTAGGAGACTCATATAAACCCAGTTACTCTACTACTCTTTTCTGTGGAATTGGTGGCCACCAAGAGACATATGACCAATGACATATGACGCAAGGTTACATTTCTTAGTGTAAAAATATAATATTAACCAATGAGTCACAGAATCGCTCACATAGTTCCTTCTCATTTTAATACAGACTTAAAAACGATGACTTGTTTGTATGCTTTCAAAATTTTTCTCTAAGGAGGGTCCTTAATCCATAGAGATTTCTACCTAGTTAAGTGAATTACAATAGGAAAACCGAATTTATCATTCGTCTTATTCATGCAGTATCAATAAATACAAGCAACTAAAAATGGTATTGCAGGGAGTGCCGGAAATTCAATTATCTACATAATGTGGAATTATAGTACATATTACTAAAAATCAGACTAATAAAAGCCGTTACCGACTGTTTACTAATGAATGAATGAGCTTATTACACGAAAATTCGGACTTTACATTTGCTGTTATGAGACCAACCAGTTGAGGAATAAAGTAACATTTTATAACTTTTGGCATTTGAAATGAAAAGATTTCACAATAATTTATTGAAAATTGGTAATGAGAAAAATAAACTCCTTGAATAAGCGAAAATTTATTGTGCTGATCAATTTTAGAAAGTGTTGCATGAGAAGAGATTCGTCGGTCGATCTCGCCATAAGAGGATGGATGGATCCCGTTGTACCGCAGCCGTTTGGCTTTTATGCCACGTTCAGGTTGGCGCAGTCCACGAAACCCACTCCCTCGTGCGAGATGAAAGTCCTCTTAACAATGTTATCTCAGGCGAGTCATAGAAACCCAGTTACTCTTCGTATCAGAAAAGTGAGTTACAATCACCCGAAACAGCATAAGTTGAGGCAGAATTGATAGTTGCCTTCTCTCACAGTGATAGGAGCAGGCCTCACAATGCTGTGGAATTTTGCTGCAGTTTCGAGCTCAGCAACTCCAAGATGAATCAAATCCAGGTAGTACAGTGTCTATTTTATGTATGTTACCACTAAGCAATAGTTCTATGGCGGCTAGTAGGTCATAGGAGTAAGAAAGTCACGTCTGCCCCGCTACCCGCTGGTCCCGTGGTAACGTGGTGTATTGGTAGCATGTAAAAAATATTAGCTGAACTACAAGAGGTCGACTCTCGTTTGAGGTGCCGATGAGGCACAGACAATGTTGAAACTGCTGCCCACCCTTAATAAAAATACCTTATAGGAGGCAAGGCTAAGTGAAATGTAATGGCAACGTTAAGTCTATTTGTGTCTGTTAGAAAATAAAACAGTTGGTCCTTCCGCACCCAGAGTAACTAAAAATCCTATAAAAGATCAGCTAATATTCTCGAAACCTACTGATTACCAATATCATTAAAACTTGCCACAGGCATTCTCTGAAGTAGGAGCCCATAAAATCAGTTGAATTATGCACAATTAAACGGCTAGACAGTTGATTTATCTCAAACCATATGCACAAAGTTCATTATCAATCCACGAA